TATATATATATCTATATATATATATAGACTTTTACTTAACTTCCAAATCCAAAGTACAATATAACTACTAAATTTAAATGTATCAGTTAACTCAATTTCAGGCTAATTGAAATTCTAAAAAGTAACAAAGTTTATTCAGCGTTTTGCTTTACCTTAATTTAGTTTTTTATACCCAAAGACGTACAAGATAATTATACAACAAAAACCAAATAAAATTAAATTGTTTTCAAATATGTTTCTACCACACTTGTTCTACTATTAATATTCCATCCAACCAAATCTTCTGTCCTCAATTAAGAAGAGGTAGTTTACCTGTGTGCCATTATTCCTTTATATCAGGAATACCACATTAATTCCATTTGACCATGGGAGTGTCAACACAACTTCAATCGACTCTGTGCCTTTAGTCTTCTTAAATGTGGTTTTAGAATATGATGTCTATCTATATATGTCTGGGAAAGTTTGTCAAAATATGTGGTTTAAGCTTGTCTTTGCAATTGAAAGTGAGGTACTGGCTTTCAGACTGAACACAATCAATATTGGGTAAAAAAGTAGTTTCAAGGCTAATGTAGCATTTTCAAGTGAATTGATTTCCTCAAAGAGTATTAGGTAGGTCTGCCATATAACTTGTGGATCAGCAAGAGATATTACAAAATAATGCTGAATTTATTTAAAACTATCTGCGCTTGAGCAAGAAATAAGCAGTGTGTGAATCTACAGAATTACCATTGTCCCACTGAGGGGAAAAATAAACAGAATGGACTTGATGTTTAATACACAAATGTAACTTTCAAACAAGTTGATTTGGTCAACCTGTATTTCTAACCACTGAATTTGAGGGTACATATGTTGTGTGAGATGTAGTTAGCACTATATCATCAATTATTTAATTCTATTTAGTGAAGAAGTGGTGCTTATAAATTTCAGTTATGTTGTTCATTTGTTTAGATAACAATTTAAACATAAATTCTTTTTCTTTTATTGTTGTATTCATATTTTATTATATTGATCAGCAAGTTTTGATATGGTGCACAATATTAAAAAACACTTACGTACAATAAAAATAACAATATGAAGCAAATTAAACTTTGAATTATAGAACACTTAAGTTGCATTAATATATAAAGTTCAAATTTTTTGCACAATTTTATAATATAACAAAAATGTTTCTTTTTTTATTATGTAACATTTTTTTAGCTCCTAAATTACTTTTTGGTCTTTATGAATACTTCAAACAATCATTTATATTGTTACGACAACGGAAGTCACGTGACGCTGGTAACATGTAATGAGTATCTCGAACGTTCCTGAAGGCTTGAGTGTTCGCCAGACGCCCTGAATTTTGTATATATAAGACCGGCGAGAAGTGACAGCATGGATAATTGAATTGCAGACAGGCAGAGAGGGAGACGGACAATTAAGTCAAGCGCGGTAGTAACTAAAGTGCGTGAATCGTTCGTTGT